GGAGGGCTATGAAAATGGTTTCTGGCTACTAGGTGGACTGGTATAACAAATTCAGGATACCTTTCGGCCACAGGCTGATGAAAAGTAAGAAAAAATTACTTTCATTTAGTCATTTAAAAGACAAAGCTGCTTCTTAAGTGTCAATTGTGGGAACATTAAACAAGGAAAAACATCCACTGCAGATGCTCCAGAAAGCGATGTCATTTTTAACAAGTACCGTAACATCTTATAACACCTCTAAGCTGATGAATCTTGTCCAGCGTTTCCATTTGATGAGGAAGAGTATTTATTAGCCTTGTCCTTGGTTTGTTTTTTGGGTTTTTTTTCTCATCACAGGTATGTCAACCTGATAATTGCAGAAATAGCAATGCAGATTCTGCCATGCCAGACCTAATACTCCTGCTTTAGATACATAAAATAGGTTGAAAATGCAGAAGTAGCAAAGATGTGTTATAGCAATTTCTCTACGCAAGACCTTTCATGATCTCAAATGTCAGTAGATAAGTTTTTTTAAATCTTAGGACTGAGCAAGGTCCTTTCAGTTTACCAGACAAGGCAAATCCTTCCACTGCATACACACATTCGCTATGAGTCTGTTGTCTTTCATCAGAGACTGCGGCTTTTCTCTCAGTACCAAAAATATCACAGCCTGTGTGGTACTACATCTACTCCACTTGACAATCCAGGCAACTGTTTTAAAAACAGAGAACTCTGGGCTGAACAGCACATGAGACACCTAGAAAAGTGCTGCAAATGCATTTTGACAACTCTTGGCAAGCTAAATGCTTAACTGTGCTCACGGAACTAGGCTATAATTTATGCTGTCAACTAGTTTCAAGGGCACATTAATGACAACCAAGTATTGCGAGGGAACAAGGCAGTTCCCATCATGTTCCCTTCCTTCTGGCCACAGAACAGGAGCAAGGAGCTGTTAGACCACGGTGGTTTCAGGGCAGATAGATACTCATCCTCTTCCCTGAAGACCCTGCTCCTTGGCGAGCAGGGTTACTTCACAGCCAACTTCTGCTAACTGCAGAAAGCAGCCCCAACATGAAAAATTTTGAATAACTTGGATTTATTTAAAGAAAAAAATCCATTATTTCTTTTTAAATATGAATTCTCCTTAGTTAGTACAGAAGAACCATCAGTATTCTCTGAGTATTTACAGTCATTTCCTATTTTCTTTTCTTGTAAGGTTTTAGGAGCTATCATTGCTACTGTCATTTGTATCCACTGTTATACATTGTCTGCAATATAGACTGACAGTGTTGGGAAACACTGCGTATTAAATTCCCCTTGAAAAGTAATTCACTCAAGTTCAATATATGAAATGGCACTTTTTATCAAGACCCACCATCTAATAACTTAGTAAATGACATCTTTAATTTAAGATTACAATCCAAATGAATTTTTTGTTTGTTTGGGTTTTTTTTAATTCTCTTCAACAGAAACAAAATCTGATGCAAATTTACATCACACTCCATACAGAGAATTAAGTTACATTCTTATTGGAGCTATCTGCGAAATTTAGAAAGAATATTTAGAAAGAATGCAAAATACCACTTTAGTGAAATCTGCTTTGATTCTTTCTACACCACCTTCTGTTCCCATTACAGTCACAAACAAGTCAATTAACCTTCCCACGCACCACTTCCCCCCACAAACCCCTGTATAGTACTGCCTATCTGTTTTACAGAAGCACTAAGAGTTTCAGAACATGCAAAGCTCACCCTAACCCACAGGCAAACAACCTCCAGTGCAAAGCTGTTATGTAATTTAAGACGTGCAATGTTAAAAGCAGTTAGCACCTAATGACAAATTTCAAATTTCTGATATGAAAAGCTTCATATCAGAAAGCTCAGGAAAAAAAATATTCCGGTCTTGCAAAGTGCCCTCAAATGCCAGATGATTTTAAATCCTTCCTGTATCCGTGGGAATTCAGTGCCCTGCATTTTGCTGGTCCAGACCATCCGACATAGTGCTTTCTGCACATGGTATATTCAGGTCTCATAAGCATTCATGATTTATTCACTGAAGACGTGTGCTCATTTCTGTTTTCCCATTACTGAGAAAAATACCACAGGAGATAACAGACTTGGATCCACGTGAAGTGGAGCAGTAGCAGTTGGCAAGCACATGGAATAGTTATTTTCCGCAATACTTGTTAATATTCTGTCCTTTAGGTGGATAATCAACTTTAAGAAAGCAAACAAACACACAAAACCAGACTGTGAACAGAGTGATCATAAAACTTGTGGGTATTTTCACAATGCAAATTTAGACAACTGGAACTGAAAAAGAAATGGACAGTAATACAAGGTATGAAGCAAATCGGGCCAAAAAGCTGTCCCCACATCCATGAATTCCCAAAGTACAAATAAAACAGTTATGGAAACTGGGGCGCATGATATTCTAATATCTGAGGCGAATATTTGGGAAAAGATGGGAGAAGGGAGAAACAATGTGAAAATTCTAAAGCCCCCCTGCCATATTCACCTTGGAGCAATCTAAAAAGAAAGTGTCTTACCTCAAGTTTATATGCCCTGTCCCTGCTGAGGGGTTCCAAAGGAAAACTCAGGTTATTTGCTTCTGCCAGGGAACGCAAATCAAAATAATACTTGGCATAAACACTGGAGGGAACATTAATATTGAACTGCAACAGCTCAAGAAACTGGCGTTCCAGCTCATTCCTGTAGAAAGGAGATAAATGTGAAAACATATTTCAGGCTGTGCATTCTGAAAGTAATGTACTTTAAATTGCAAATGGTATACACCAAGTTCATTTCATATTCTTGCCAGACGCAATTATCCCAGCCTAAGGTTTGACCTAGTCTACCAAGTTCTATTGGCATATGTACGCCAGGGAGGAATACGAAGATGCTGCACCTCGCAGCTGCTCCTGCGATGCCAATCAAACCCGCACCCAAACTTTTGCTCTTGGAAGGGCACTTTTATCGGTTTAGCTAAGACAATCCGGAAAAGAAAAGATAGCAGGAAAAACATTTTCCTGTAGTTTCTGCTGTACCTCCACTAGGTGGATCTGCACACACAGCTATTCAAACGCAAAATGCAGACATGCCCTAAATTTGTCAGTCATCTCTCATAAATGCTGCAAATTACGCTAACACCTAAATTACTGGAGAACTTATTTACTCTCTTCAGCCTTTCATAATCAATCATTTAAAACTAGTCGTGGAAAACCTGAATTTTTCAGCACACTGTCATATCTTTCTTTATGGCCACAACGAAGCAATTTTTCCCTAGGACACGCAATCAAAATTCACAGTGGTGATCACTTGTTTTTCAGCACCTAAAACAAATGTCTTTGCCAAAATACCTAATAAGAACAGAGCTCCTATTTGAGCTCCCACCCCATGAAATCTTTGGTATAGCAATACATTATTACCTACACCAGTACATTAAAATGTATATTAAGAAATAAGCAAATCAACAAAATTAAGTACTGGAAATTGTCATAAATTGCATGGTAACTAGGCATCCTACATATTACTTATGCAGGGACATATGATATGTTCAGAACAGTGATTTCAAGAAATAAAAAATAACTGGGTGGTAAAAGCTGCACGTTTGCTGAGGAGTATAGGGACTGCACAGCTGTGATACCAGCAGGTATTGACTGACTATGATATTGCATTTAAGTTACATTTAGACTGCAGTGTAAGTGTGCAAGGAATGTGCAGGCAGTTGACAACAGAAGAGGAAGGATCTGAAGATAAAAAGTACTGGTACAGTAGTTTTTCAACACTGAATGATTTTTCTTCTTCTCACTCTTTACTCTTACATCACCCACATTACAAATCACTGCCCTTCCTTACCGTCACACTCTCGGCCAAATTTCTATGTTTACATAATGATAAATATTAATTAACATTAAAAGACTATCTAAAAGCTGGTTGTGGACTCTTTGGCATGAATTCACACTGTTGAAGATTCTAGCTTTTAAAAAATCCAAATTAAAAAAATTGCATTTCAAGACGTCTATCAATAAATACAGAGGATTATCTTTAAATGTCATTTTATGCTGCCAAGATTTTACTTTCCACAAGCTAAGCCTAAAGGTCTCTGTTAATGGATAATATAAAGCCTATTTTGATGGAGAAAGACGTTGGCTGTATCTCTTTTGAAGAGCAACTCCAAATCTTTAAGAATAATACATAGCCTCAGATTCTTACTATCCCCTAGCTCCCAGATTTGAAAGTTAGATCAGCAGACTAACTACAGCTGAGAAGGAACAAAGAAATACAGCCATGTCTTATTTGACCTAAAGTAATTTAACAAACCACCATACCCTTCTTCCCCCATACATCTATGTTAGACTGCTTTAGCATATGCTTTCCTGTGGCCACTCCTCAAATCTGCAGAAACTCCAGGTCCTGCACGTGGGCTGGGGCAATCCCATGTACAAACGCAAGCTGGGTGGAGAACGGATTGCGAGCAGCCCTGAGGAGAATGACCTGAGGGTGTTGGTGGATGAGAAACTCAACATAAGCCAACCATGAGCGCTCGAAGCTCAGAAAGCCAACCATATCCTGGGCTGCACCAAAAGATGCATGGCCAGCAGGTTGAGGGAGGTGATTCTGCCCCTCTACTCTGCTCTCATGAGACCCCACCTGGAATATTGTGTCCAGCTCTGGAGCCTCCAACATAAAAAGCACATGGACCTGTTGGAGCAGGTCCAGGGGAGGGCCATGAAGATGATCAGAGGGACAGAGCACATCTCTGAAGACAGGCTGAGAGAGCTGGGGTTGGTCAGCCTGGAGATGAGAAGACTCTGGGGACACCTTACAGTGGCCTTCCAGTGTCTGAAGGGGGCCTACAAGAAGGCTGGAGAGGGACTTTTTACAAGGCCGCGTAGTGATAGGACGAGGGGTAATGGCTTCAAACTGGAAGAGGGTAGATTTAGATTAGCTATTAGGAAAAAAAACTTCACTACGGGGGTGGTGAGGCACTGGAACAGGTTGCCCAGAGAAGTTGTGGAGGCCCCATCCCTGGAAGTCTCCAAGGCCAGGTTGGACAAGGCTTTAAGCAGCCATGTCTAGTGGGAGGTGTCCCTGCCCATGGCAGGGGGGTCACAACTAGATGATCTTTAAGGTCCCTTCCCACCTAAACCATTCTGTGATTCTATGCTTTACAAGGTACACTTATGCTGAAGCAGTTGAACATTTTGACCTACAGTTTTTCTGCAAGCCCCCATCTTGCATAGAGCCAGACACTTCAAAATCATACTACTGTACTGTCCCAACTACCTGAAAAATAAGAAAGAAAAGAAAAAAATCCAATACGCCACACTAGGGATAGGAGGGAAAAAAAATGGAAAAACTGGCAGCAGGAATATAAACAGGTCAACAAGCACCAAAAACCTTTGCTGGAGGATTCACAAGGAGCCCCCAACACAAAGCCCATGAGCCAGACCACCAAGTACCATACAGAGAGCACAGGCTCCACAAAGGCTTCTGGTGTTGCAGACTGTGAGAACCGTAAAATCTTTAAGAAAAGGTTAAGAAGCTAACATCGTTGAGGACAAGGACTCATCACAGTTTGGCTGAGGGACTGTGCAGTGCAGAGAGGGCCGATGCTCGCATGGGAGCACGGGTCTGCCTCATAACGGTGTTATATGGCTCAAGCGCAACTTCTAACAGCAGCACCATCCCATGTGTTTGTCAAAAACAATAACCTCTTTTTTTGTTTCCTTTCAGACCATCACAGTACGCATCATCACCTGCCTTCCAAAAAAGCCCTGAGAATCAGCAATTTCAAAACTCATATTTATAACCATTCCTGATTAATACTACCACATGGCACAGTCAAACCTGTCAGTCTGCTTCAAGCTGCTCAGCACTCTACTGCAGCTCATGTCCCAGCTTCAGAAACACTTTAAAAAAAACTCCCAGATTTTAACTCAGAGTAGGAGTGGATGGAGGGGAGGCCCTTACTGCCAGTAAATACCCGAAAGCATGAGAAAAGGATCAAGGAAAAAGTGGCTTAGCAAAATCATTCAGGAAACACTCGAAACAGTCAAGGAAGCATTATCAAATTGTTCTGCATGGAATAATATTGCACACAGAAGTGTGAAGGGCCTGATTTTAGCTTCTTGTTGCCCATACCCCCACCTTTTATTTTGGAAATCTCATTCTGTCTGGGTTATGTCGGGAAAGAATTATCATCTACCATCCTTAAAGTAGTTTACATATTTTAAAACAGATGCTGAAATGGCATTATATGGTATTTCCCACCTCTATTTTGAAAGGAGAGTTTTTCCCCAAACTAATGAAAGTACCTACAGCACACCACAGCAATGCAAGCTTTGCGTTTTTCCCTTTGACTCAGGAAAGAAATTTACCTTATTGCAAATTGCTTATTAATACAAGATTTAGAGATAACTTGTCTAATACTTGAGCAATGACAGCTGCTCACAATTTATAAGTCTTATCTAGCAGTGTACTGGCATGCTTAATTTAAAGCAATCAGCTGACTCCTCACGTTCAACCTTTCCCTTACAGATCATTTTTAGACCAGTTATAAACCTGACAAACAGCAAATTATCAACCTAAATTAGGGCTGCTTTAGTGAAAAAGCTTGGCCTTTCACTGCTTTGAGATTGCAAACTGAGATTCAAAAACTATTCTGTCTGCATAAACATTTCTTCTGATCTACCTCCCTCCTTTCTTCTTCCCTCCTCCCAGACTGCTTATCCACAACCTCTCTTCAGTGACTGTGATCCTGATTTAAGTGAGTTAAAGCAGAGACGAGTCTATATACTTCTCATTACAGATACTTAGCTCTGCTTAAAGAGCTCTGAAACACACAGATATGGTACTAAAACTTATTTTTCATCATGTTATTGTTACTAGTCCTTATAAAAAACGGGGTGCACCAGTATACCGGGGCGCCAGTATATACTCTGGGGGGTACCAGTATGCACGAGCTGCAGTGGCCTGTCATGGCACCATCCTGTTGAGGTTTGGGCTGGACCAGCCACCGAGACAAACAACAGATGCTCTCCCCCACCTCTGTCTCCAAGGAAAGGAGAGACAGAGAGAAAGAGACTTACCAGGTTAGAAGAAACTAAACTACTTTAATGAAATACTAGTAATAAATTCCAAGCGCAGCCCTTCCAGTGCCACTGTTGCACCCACGGCAGCTCAGGTAAGGGCACCCCGGAAAGTGTGCGTGGGATGTGATCCAGCCCTGAACGTACAGATGATACAAAACCCGGGCACTTCAGCCAATATATGTAATACCGGCTAACCAACCAAACAAAAAAAGCACTAGACTATTTAGTGAAGTGAGCATTCACTTTAGTATTTGTAAACATAAAGATCCCAATTGTATTCATTCATATTACAGTTCTTTTCATTACTCCTGGAATATACTCTTAATATGACTTGGGAGTATCCAGCCAGATACCACAACCCTCTATGCTGTTACAATACGCAATTCTTATGAATGCCACCAGATTAAAAGAATGGAAAAAGGCAAATTTCTCTTTGCAAGTTAAAATACTAGATTTTTAGCATCTTGGAAAAAAAATCAGCATGATACAGGGAGGGAAAAAAACCCCAACCCCAAAATCCCAAAGTACTAATTTTGAATAATAGCAATAAGTAAGTGGGTGATCATCTAAGGGTCATTAGGATCAAAACAATTTTTTTTCCTGCCTTCCACGTTGGCCTACTGTCTGTATGGAGAACTAGCATGACAGTAAGTGTTGCTGAAGTGAACAGATGCAGGTTCACTGGATGTGGGTTTTTTTGTCAAGTCATACATTTAAATACTCTGCAGGTATCATCACCATGCATGAACATCCAGTGGTAAAATACATTTCAACCGGAAAACAAAAATAATTCATGTCTTCAATGTAAGCTACTGTCAAGCAGACCTCATGCCATCTATCAGCATCCACCATGTTTAGATACAACGCAGATATCCAAACTTTATATCATTTATGAGAGAACTTCCCATCCCCCTCATACACACAGATCTTGGCATTCATTGACAAAGATAAACATACTGAACTCACATGTCTTCGACCGTGATATCTTTCAGGATCTGGCAGTAATCCACGTTCCACACTGCCTGGTCATCCCAAACTTTGGATGCCAGTAGAATTGCACCCAGTACAATTCGCTTCCAGTTTGCTGGACAAATATCTATCTCTGCATAAGTTAAAAGTCTTTCAAGATATACCTGTGGAAACACATTAAAATCAAGACTTAATCTATTTTGCTATTAAGTAGAAATGAAAAAGAAAACTATTCTCATAAACCCATTCCAGCAATTTTAAAGCAGTAATCTGTTCTCAAGACGATTCTTTTATAAAAGCTGTAGGTTTAAACACATACATTTATGCCAAGCTAACGACTGGATGCGACAAATTCATATTTTAGTTGGCCTTTGCCTTCTGTTCATGTTACCAGAAACAAAACTGTTATTTTTCTATCTGTAACTGTTACTAATATATTCACATGTTGGAATGAATTCAAACGATAGTTTAAATAAATTATGAAAATAATAACGTAAATAAATAAAATGCTAAGTGCTACTGAGGAAGACAAGGATATGCTACCAATAACAGTTACTAGCTATCCTGCAAACAACCATGGCACCATGTCATACTGGGCCCCTCTGGCAAGCCCGTGTGAAGAGGTTCTATAGGCACCTATAGGATGGACAGAGGAACAGCTACCACAGACACAGCAAGCTGAACAGGGGAAACGTATCTGCTAAGAAGATAATGCTCAACAGTTTCCTCTGGATAAGCTCTGACGATGAGTAACAGTAATCCTGTTGGACCTACTGACAAACTCAGGACGTCGTAGTCTGGCCCAATCTGCCCACGGCCACCAACATGGGCTAGCATCAACCAGAGCTCACATAACCAAGACCTCACCCATGAGGGTGGTAGCTACTCTTTACAAAGACCACAGGATTACATACACACATCTGATCAAACAAGGAACCGTGGAGGGACTTCCTGAACACTTAGGAAAAAGCTGCTGGGGGTGGGTGCAGTAGGACTCTCTGCTTCTGACCACAGAGCTGGCCTGGTCCCTCGACCGATGCCCCAGCCAGGGATGGATGGGTGAATACGTGAGGGATCCATGGGAGCAAGCAAGTCAACGTGTTGTGTGAACAGCTACCTGCTATCAATAACAGCAGCTCAACTACATTAATAGTAACAGACTGATAAACAAAATGTGTTCTAAGAAATACCGGTTGTGGGTGATCTGTGTGCCCCCCTACTCCACCCCCTATTAGGGAAAAGGAAATTACAGCTATGAGGTGAACAAAACTGAATACTTATGCGATCCACAACATTTAAACAGTTTACAGAACATCTGAGAGGACAGATAATAAATCTGCAGTTTGACTACAATAATGCTTATTAACACCTAATCAAATAATACCCAAAGAATAGCTAATATATCAAAAATTCAATGTAGGATACATGCTGGTAAGGATTTGAGGGGATGGGGAAAGGGGGAAACTTTAAAACCTACAACAGCTCACTTGTGATTTTCTATAACATTTTACACTCATACAAGCCCACAGAGTGCCTTCGGTGATTTGTGCCTCTTGAAAGTAGAAAATATTATTCAATTAATAATAGAATAATGACTGATATATTTTGAAACTCATTTATTTTTGAGTCCAAAATAACACCAAGGCCAATTACATCCTTCATATAGTTTTGTTCATTAATTTTCAGAATTATGATATGTACAAGTAATCAGACCTTGGCAACAAAATCATCAAAAACAGTAGACAGCTGTTATATAATTTAAAGTTTTACAGAAAAAATATATTTTATGAAAAAAAGAATTAAATTGTCTGAATACACATACACAGATATTCAGCCCACAAAATGAACTGTCTCACACACTCTGCGGTATAAACGGCATACTGAGCAAGAAAATAATGGGAAAAAATACAAAACAACAATATTAGACAATTTTTGTTCAAAGTGGCCCCCACAAAGTGTAAGTTCTTTGCTTTGTACTCTCTACTGAAGAAAAATAAAACTTAAGTTACAATGTCTGTAACAGTCACTAATACCATCATATTACAAAGAATTAATGTGTAAAAATTATACAATTTTCTCTCCTCAACAGACCACCTCTCCCAAGCAACAGATTTCTCAGTCCACAGTTAGGTTGTTTCAAACAGGTTTCACTGCGCTCTTCC